AATGAAACAACAGGAAATTTCCCTAGAAAAAGGTAGCTGAGAATCAGGAACAGAAGAAGCTGTTAAAGTTGAATGGAGATTTCCGCAAGAAAGAAGAAATAAGAGGTGGTAAACAGCTTCTGAGTGCACTTCTCACTGCTGAGAAGTGAGCTGCCACCAGGATAAGAGGGGCTGGTGCCCATGCTATAAAAATGCATTTTTAGACAGCTGTGGTGGTGGGTCTGAAGGTGAGAGTCACAGAAGCAGTTAAGCAATTAATGTGTAAATCTAGACCAACACACAGAGGACAAAAAGGGCTGAGTACAAGTTTCTTCTGCCACAGGCTAGTGGTTTCTAACCATTTCTTGAAGTCATGGCGAGAAGAAGCTTCTAAGACAGTCTAGTATACAGGTGGTAGGTGGGAATTAAAAGCCTGTACCCACTGTAAGGGTCAATAATATTTTTCTAACTTAGTGTGCTTTAAGTGCTTTTATTAAGAAAAAAATGTAATAAAATCAGTGAGTTAAATTCCCACCTTTAAAAGCTAGACAAAGAATAACAAATCCAAAATAAGTAGAAGAAATAACAAGAGTATAAATAAATGAAAAAATAAGCCTGGCTGGTGTGGCTCAGTACATTGAACATCATCCCATGGACTGAGAGGTCCTGGTTTGATTCCAGTCAGGGCACATGCCCGGGTTTTGGGCTTCATCCTCAGTAGGGGGCATGCAGGAGGCAGTGGATTGATGTATCTCTCTCACATCGATGTCTCTATCTCTCTCTAAAAAAATCAATAAAAACATATTTAAAATAAATAAAAATAAATGAAAAAATAAAAAAACAATAGAAAAAAAAACAAAGTTAAAGTTGACTCTTTAAAAGAATTAATTAATAATCATTTATGTAGGAAAATAGAAATAAAATGTAAATGACCAATTTCAGCAGTTTTTAAAGGAACATAATTATAGATCCTTCAGATACAAAATTATAAGGAAATATTCTGAGCTAATAATTTTATGCTAATGAATTTGCCAACTTAAATGAAATGGAATATTCCTTAAATAACACAAATTCCTATAAGTGATACAAGAAACAGAAAATCTAAATAGCCCATATCTATGAAAGAAATTGAGTTCATAATGAAAAACCATTCCACTGAAAAACTCTTCGTCCAGATATCTTCACAAGTAAACTCTACCAAAAATTTGAGGAAAAAGTCCTGTATACATTGTTTCAGAAAATAACAGAAGAGGAACTTAACGAGTTTTATGGTCAGTATAATTCTGATACAAAAACTTGACAAAAATATAAAAGAAAAAAAAATTACAATTTCTCATGAATGAAGACAAGAATACTTAAAAAAATGTACCAGCAAATCAAATCCAGCAACATGTAAAAAGGATAATACATCATGTTTGAGTGGATTTCTCCCAGGAATACAAATTTGATTGAACTATTCAAAACCAATCAATGTAATTCAGAACACTGACAAAATAAGTACAAAAACCATATGATAATTTTAAAAGATACAAAAAGAGCATCTGAAAATATTCAATATCCATTCATAATACAAACTCTTAACAAACTAGAAACAGAAGGAAACTTCCTCAGCCTGAAAAAGGACTTGTATGGACAACCTAAGTCACACTCCACACTGAACTTCTCACTAATACTAGAAACAAGGCAAGGATATCCACTCTTCCCATTTCAATTTAACAATATACCAGAGGTAACAGTCAATGCAATAAAGCAAAAAAAAGAAATGAAAGACATAAATACTGGAAAAATGAAACTTGTTACTAGTACAACAACATGATTGTGTACACAAAACCCTATGGGATATTTTTTTTAAACTATCAGAAAAGTAAATTTTAAAAGGTTGCAGGGTACAAGATCAATATACAACGATTAGTTATATTCTATATAAAGGCAGCAAACAATTTAAAAATAAGTGATTTGTTTTAAGAAACTTCCACTTAGCCTAGCTGGTGTGGCTCAGTGGTTGAGCACTGACCCACGCACCAAGAGGCTGCTGGTTTGATTCCCAGTCAGGACACATGTCCAGGTTGTGGGCCTAATCCCCAGTAGGGGGCATGCAGGAGGTGGCCAGTCAATGTTCTCTCTCATGGATGTTTCTGTCTCTCCCTCTCCCTTTCTCTCTCTCGCTAAAATCAATAAAGAAAAAAAATTTTTTTTTAAACTTCCACTTATAATATCATCAATAACATAAAATATTTAGGAAGAATTATTAACATAAGACAAGTAAGATCTCTATAGAAAAACCTATAAAACAGGCCTAGTAAAGAAACAGACGATGATTCTAAAATTTATGTGGAATATAAAGGATCAAGAAAAGTCAAAACAATCTGAAAAAGAAAAACAGTGTTGGAGGGTTTATGTTACCTGATTTTAAGTCATACTATAAAGTCACAGAAATAAGAAAGTGTGGTATTGGCATAAGAATAGACAAAAAAAAAAAAGAATGAAATAGAGGCATTCAGAAATAGACCTAAATACACGGTCAATTTATTTTAGACAAAAGTGCCAAATTAATCCAATAAGAAAAGAAAAATCTTTTGAAGAAATGCTCCTGGAACAACTGGATATGCATATGTAGAAAATTAACACCAACTCCAGTATCATTCCATATACAAAATTAATTTGACATAGACCATGAGTTAAATATAAAAGCTAAAATTATAAACTTTCTAGAAGAAAACAGGTAAGAAAATCATTGCAACCTTAGGGTATGCAAAGATATTTGGACAGGGATAAAACCCATTAATCATAAAGAAGAAAATTATGAATAGGACTTCATCAAAATTATAAATATTTGTTCATCAAAAGATACTGCTGCCCTGGCCAGTTTGGCTCAGTGGTTAAGGAGTCGGCCTTCAGACTGAAGGGTCTCGAATTTGATTTCTGGGCAAGGGCACACACCTGCGTTGCAGGATCGATCCCTGGCCCTGGTGGGGGTCATGTGAAAGGCAACCAATCGATGTGTCTCTCTCACATTGATGTTTCTGTTTCTCTCTCTCTCTCTCTCTCTCTCTCTCTCTCTCTCTCTCCCCTTCCCTCCCTCCCTTCCCTTCCATTCTCTCTCAAAATAAAAATAAAAAATCAAGGAAAATATATCCTCGGGTGATAATTAGCCAAGGGGGAAAAAAAAAGACACCACTAATAAAATGAGTTGGCAATGCAAACTCAAAAAAAATATTTGCAACACATACATCTGACAAAAGACATGTATCCAGAATATATAAACTCCTACAATAAAAACAATAAAAAAAAAAATAACCCAATTAAAAAATGGGCAAAAGACCTAAATATCCACCTCAGAAAGAAGACATCTGGCCAACAAGCACACAAAAAGGTGATCAACATCATTAGTCACCAGAGATACGTTAATTAAAACCATAAGGCAATAAATACCATCTTATATCCTCTAGAAAGGCTAGAATAAAAAAACACTAACAGTACTGAATGTTGGCAAGGATATGGAGCAACTGCAACTTTCATACACTACTGGTACATCCAGTTTGGGTAACTGTTCGGTTGTTCTTACACTTAACCTAAGAACGAACAATCCTAGTCTAAGGTATTTACTCAAGAGAAGTGAAAACATATTCCCACAAATTTTTTTTTTATAGAAATTATCACAATAGCCTTCTTTATAATAGTCCCAAACTGGAAACAACCCAAATGTCCACCAACAGGAGAACAGGTAAATGTATATTCAAACAGTGGAATACTGTTGAACAAAAAAAATGAACTACTGATACATACAATATCAAGGATAAATTTCAAAACTGTTAGGCAAATGAAGTAAAACACAATACCATATGATTCCATTTTTTAAAAATTCCAAGAATAATAAAAATTAATCTATAGCAGCGATTTTCAACCGGTGTGCAGTTAAGAATTTTTAAAACACACAATACCTGACTATTAGTCAGGGGTACTAACCTCTTTTTCCCTTGGACTATCAAAGAAAAAAAATGACAACAGCCAACACAACAACAGTTGTCCGGTGTGAATGAATAAAAATTATATGTACTTTTTTGTTAGAATGGCAAAAAATTCTATTTTTTGGTGTGCCATAGAATTTTAGTAAGTAGTTTATGTGTGCCCTAAGATTTAAAAAGTTGAAAATCGCTGATCTATAGTGATAGAAATTAGAAGTGATTGTTTAGGGCAGCAGGCTGCTTAAAAGGGGATACAAGGAAACTTTTGGGGGAGATACAAATGTCCCTGTATCTTGCTTAGGTGTACACAACTATTAAAACTCTTTGCACTAAACTGTACGTTTTAAATCTGTATATTTTATTGTATGTTAATTATACCTCAATTTTTTAAATCTCTAAAAAACTATTTCAAAAGTATGAAGAGCAATACAAAATACTGTGACTGCTTCTGGGTAGTGGGATTCTGGCTAATTTTTTTTCTTCTGCTAATTCACACTTCTACGAATTTTACAATTTTCTATAAAGAACCCCCCCCCCCCCGTTTTCTATGCCTACGTTTTGTAGTTTCACAAAGATGCCCAAATGTTACCAGTATTTATCTTCTGAAAGTAGGATTATAGAAACCATTAAAGGGAGTATTAGTCAAGTTCTCTTTCTACTATCGGCATGTGGTGCAGATCCCTGTGCAGGATCTGAAAGGAACTCAGAAGCTCAGGCAGAGTCAACACGGCATACTGAGAAGCGGAAGGGATCAAGCCCAGCAGAGTTTAACTCTGAACCTGGCTCTCTCACTGAAACTGGTGGGAAAGTTATGGAGACTCTGTTTCCTCACCTCTAAAATAGGATTAAGATGTAACGTGTCTACCGCAAGAGAGTTCTGTGAACCAGCTGTGGTTGATAAAGCACAGAAAGAATTAAGGTAGTAGTAACTTCTAATAATATGGAAAAAGTTTTTTAAAAAAGTCAGATTTATTACTTACAATCCTGTAGGAAGCAATAAAAAAGATATTGCTAGAACCATTCTGCCCTTTTAAATCAATAGTCAAGGATTCTTACCTACTGGTGCGGTAATAGTGATTCTGCAGAGCACAGGATATGCACTGATTGTTTAATCGCTTTCTCTCAATCTCCTTCCAACTATCTTCTGGCCACTTTCTCTTGATGTGCTTCTCCTCATGTTTTTTCCCCACATATTCAGCATAGGTCTGAATCCGATAGCTTTCTGCATATTTGCTGGTATTAACAGCTACAAGGAAAAGAAAAAGAAAAAAATCCTTTTAAAAGAGTCTGACCTAGAGATATCACTGAAGTAGTCAAAGGAGCCCTGGGTTCAGGTCTGAGCTCAGACACCAGCTCTGCCACTTAGAAGCCAGATGGCCTTGGAAACGTTCCACAGACTCTCCAAACCTGAGTTTTCTCATCTGGATAAAGAGAGAGTCATTGCTGCTCCACAGTCTCACATACAGTGTGAAAGTGCTCCGTAAACTGTAAAGAACCATCATGCTGTAAATAAAATATTAACCTTCAAAATATTTGCAGGTAACACTACTGATGGAAAATTATTCATGTTCAGAATAAGAAAATGAAAACAACAAAACAAAACCACTAAGGCAAAACTGTAGACCCTCATTTATTTGTTTTATTTAAAAAGGCAATAAAAGCAATCTTGCCTGTCAAATACTGAAGGTCTACCATATGTCTGTGTCCAGTGGTTTGCATACATGATGTCTAATCTTCTTAATTCACTTTTAAGGAAGGAACTGTTTTTGCTGATGAGAAATCAGAGGCATAGAAGTCAGATGATTTACCGCAGACCTCACCACAAGTGAGTGGCAGCAATGGGATGCAAAACCAGGTTACGTTGACCCTAACTAAGGCCAGGGGCCTTCTTGCTGCTCTGCACCTCACTTCAGACTCCGCAAATTCAAGAGATCCCCACAATACCTAAGACATGCCTCGTCTCCTTCCACTTTTAAAGACTGCTAATTCTCTGTAATGTGCCTCTGGCTGGTAGGAGTACTTGAAAGCTGAATGGAGCTTATTCCCTCCTTGGTGTTAATGCTTGACTAAGGCCAGGTCAGTTTTGTTGCAATCCTTTGCTGCCTCCTCCTCAGAGGCTGGTGGGATGGAAAATGCTGATAGAGTGGGAGTGAGGACCCATGGAAGGCATGTTAGTGGATAGGCACCCATTTGCTGGTTCTGGCTCAAGCAATTTGAGCATATACTCTCCTAGCCTACTATCACTGCCAACAGTTATTACCCACACTGGCAGTGAGACAGTAAGAGCCTGGTCATGGTGACTTGGTATTGGGGCAACTGCAAAAGCACCAAGACATTTGACATAGAATCTTGTATACCCAGTCCTAGCAAAGTTCTTGGTACAGAGTAGTTCTCGATAAATAGTACATGAATGAGTGCAGGCAGAATGCAGCAACTGGAGATAAGTATACAGTCTTTGAAGACATCAGAACTGGACAAGGGACACAATTATATTAGGGACCTTAAATCGACAACTCTAAGAGGCAGATGCTCCACGTATCAGACACCTGACACAATCTTCACTCCCAGTGGGCCAGATTTGCTTAAAACTTCTCAGCACAATAGTGGATTTCAGAATGTCGTGCCATAAATATTTAGCTACATAAAGAGCAAAATAAAACAACTATAGGGAAAAAAAAACCTGATTCTGTAAGAAACACAAATTTTATTAAGAAGCTTGCTGTATTTTTCTAACATTCACTCTAAAGGAACAACAACAAAAAGCAAAAGGAAAAAAAAGCCATGAATGTATTAAGGAACTTTCATATTATATAATCTCCCAAAGAAGTAGAGTTAGTTATTGAAATGTGAGCTCAAAACAGTGTGCTTTAACTCACTCACAAGGAGGTAAACAGAGGCATCCAGTTCTAGAGACCTGCTATTGACCAAAGTCACTCATATCAAAGAACCACAGAAATAGGATCCTTTCTTGAAAACCTTATTCCTCGGGACAGTTATTTTCCTGAGTTCAGTGGGCCACATTTCTGACTTTTCCCCTCATTTGTCTTAACCACCCAACAATTTCCATTATCAACAAACATCATCTGAGCTTCCATCCAGTAATTGCTCACTGAGTGTCAGTTCAGGGACTATGCTAGGTATTTGGTAAAACAAGGCACAATCTCCATCCTCTTAAGCTCACCCTGTCACATGCAAGCTTTATGTAAAGTTGATTTCCCTATATGCTTGAGACTACCTACTAAAATAGGTTAAAATACCAATATGACACATAATGAAAACCCATACATTCTACCATCATTATTCTGTACTGACTGTTGGTAAATGAGAAATTCATGGATTTTCCTCTTTAAGTTTCATTCCTTTATCCGGCAGGTTCATTTTGCAAGCATGCCCAAAAGGGATGACATCTGCAATAATCCCTCTCTCAAATTTAATTTGGACTACCAAGCAAAAGAGTAGGCCTGAGTCAATATTCCTCATGAAAGCAAAGGTGATGATCGGCTCACAAAGGAGCCAGGATGATCTGTTTAATAAGTGTCCAACTGTTTCCAATAATTTCACTCTCAATCCCATGGACAAATGCTACAAACAGTTCCCTAACCTCAGAGGGGCAATTTATTTGAGCATATTTGGAATTAGGATCACTTAAAAGGGGAAACAAATAACAATCCACTTTTCACTGCTGGCCTTCACATGGCAATAATTTACCAGCATTCCTTCAAGTCCCAGCAGCTTTGCAGCTCTTGGCCTTTAATCTAGAAGCCAAGCTCTGGCTCAAAGCCACGCCTCTAATGGATGAATCAGCAAAATGAATTGGCTGTCAGCTGTGTCCTCCAGTGATTCCAGCTCCCCTGTTAGAAGTAGCATGTAGTCAGCTGCTTGGCAACACTAACCTTTTCCAAATTTGTCAGGAAATGATTCAAGGCCATCTTTTGGTCGTGCCACTTGGTTAAAGTCACTGGGGAACCAAACACACTAAGAGTCCTCCTTGTTTCCTTATAGGTGAGTGAGAGCAGTTCCTCCCACATAATAGTCTCATCCACTCTCGGCTTCACTATGCTGGGACCACTGTCTCTGGACACTCTGCACACATTATAGCATTTAATCTTCACAATAACCCCATAAGGAATGGATGTTCTAGTCATCAGATAAAGAGACAGAGCATCAGGGAAGCTAGGAAGCTTGTCTGAGATCCTGTACAAGAGCAATAAAGCTGGTTTGGAAACAAGATGAATTTGTTGTTTTTTAATGTAATATTGCCACATGTCTGCAATATATTTGAGTGTATTTATTTAGCTGGACAATTATTTTATAAAATGATTCCTTTACCAGGATTTTAAAAAACTATTCAAAATGTTTAGATTTTTTTTCCCCCTAAAAATTAAGAACTTTTCATTACTGTCAAGCTAAGTCTCTCCATCTAGGTTGATAGATACATTATGTTTAAGAACAAAAAGACTTAACATAAGATGTAGATTCCTTCCTAAAATAATTTATAGATTTAATGCAACTGCCGTAAAAAAAAAAAAAAATTCCAACATTTTAATAGAACATTGAAAAAAATTTAAATGAAATGAGAAACAAATCTGACAGAAAACAAAGCAGTGGTAGCCAGAGACAGGGGAGGAGATCAGCTACAAAGGAGATGAGGGAATTTTGGGGGTGATGGAACTGTCCTATATGTTTAGTGTGTCAGTGCTTACATTTGTTGAAACAGAACTGCTCAACAAAGAGAGTAATTTTACTGTATATAAATTATACCTCAATTATTCTGTGGAATAAGAATGGCTGATTTCAAAATTTAAATGGAAGAACAAATGGGCCAACAATAACCCAGACATTTCCGAAGAAGAAAAGGAAAAGGTACATGCCTGGGTAGCCAAATAAGCTTATTATAAAGCTCCAGTAATTAAGACAGTGTAGTATGGTGCAAAGACAAACTGACCAATGGTATAGAGGAGCCTAGAAATAGACATACATATGTCAAAGTTTGATTTTGGACAGACATCATGACAGAGAGTGTGGAAAAGGAAAAATTGGAGAAACTGTTTATCCATAGGAAAAAGTGAAATTGAATTCTTACCCACACCATGCTAAAAAATCAACTCCAGATGGATGAAGAACTTAAATGTCAAAAGCAAACTTTGAAAACTTGAAAAGAAAATGTAAGTAAATACTTTCTGAGTTTGAAGTAGTAAAGAATTTATGAAGATACAAAAAATGTTCAGCATAAAAAAGATAATATATTTGGCTACATTAATAGGAAAACTTTTGTGCATCAGAAGACACTTTAAAGAGAGTGAAGACAATCTACAAACTTGAAGAAGATATTTGTAACATGGAGGATGAGTACCAGAATACATAAAAATACCTACAAATCAGTAAGAAAACACCCAATAGAAAAATGGGCAAAAGACAAAAAAAAGCATACATAGTCATTTCACAGAAAAGGAAGCACATAAGGACAATAATTATATATATAAAAGAGATGTTCAACTTCAGGCAATAAGATAACATTTTGTAGATTTGTAAAGGGAGAGGGAGGGAGACAGAGAGAGGGAAAAGGAGAATGGAGATGGATGGATGGATGAGGGTGGGGAGAAAGAAAGAGAATTAAAACAAACAAACAAACAAACAAAAAACAGGAAAATTATCAGCACAACTTCTGGAAGAGTGGTTGCTCCTGGCAGGGAATCAGGAGGGTGGGATAGGGTAGGAACAACAGGTATATGTTATGTATTAACAATATCTTAGTTTTTCAGTTGAATGGTGGTTTCAAAGACCTTCATTACAACTTAACCAAACAAACTGTTTAGGTTTTCTGTTGTCTACCCTGTCCAACTACTAAGGGCCATTTCCAATACAGACTGTCCAAGTACAAAGGTCTCTGTAAGACCAGGTTAAAGTTACTTCATTTTCAATGTCTTCTGTGATACAGAGGTGCCCCTAAATGGTCCAGGTGGCATAAATGAGCACTGCTGCTGAAATGCCAGACTTTTCAAACCTTCTCCAGGAAGCTGGACATCTATCAGTACAGCCCCTTTATCAGACGGTTAAAATCAGTTCACTGTAGCAACTACTGGGAGTGGGGTGGGGGAGCACTTAGAAAAATGCAGGACACACCATTAGTCCTGTATTTTTTACAATGGCTACCCTCAGCCAACATCACTTTCTCAATTTCTAATTACCTATATTCTTATTAATTCAATGTTTACAAAAAAGATAAATATTTATTGGATACTTACT